CTTTGAATTGTGCTCATACATTTATCTAAACATTCACCTGAAGCAGAAAAGCACTGTGAATTTGCTTCCCCAGGTCTTGGATACTGTGTGGGAACTTTGGAAATACATCATTCTCAATTACAATCAAAGATAAACATAATATTGGCTATTTACTGGATACAAATTTTCAGACTTTTGAGTCTTGTTATTTCATATGTGCAATAGAGGTGTTGGCAGTATTTACCTTCTCAATTTACAGTGAAGGATAATTAGATTGTATATCAATGAATATGTAACATTCAGTGAAAGTGTAAGTATTTATTATAATCAGTCTTAGTGTCAAACGGGTTTGGTTAATTTTTCTAGAAATTTCAGAACCCAAATATCATTCTAGTTGTTTTTCTTCTATTTTCTGTTACAAATACTTCTTTTACTTTGGCAGGCTTTTTTCATTCCCTCAAACGGCAAGTACATATACATTTGTAATATAGAGTATTCTAGTGAAATTTAAAGTTTCTTGTTACTGAAATACATAAAGCATTGCCTGAAAGACTGTAAAATAATTAAAACTAAGATAATGAAAATTCCTGAAATTCTTTGAATAGTTTCTCACTTTGGCATTAAGTGCCCCAAAACCAGGCTCCTGCCAGTGTGCTCCTTCTGAAAGATATGCGGTTGTTTAGCTTAATATTTATAATATTTATTGATTTAGCCCAAGTTGTACTGTTTTTCTATTTTTATATGTTATCGTTTCAATTACAAAATGTTGTTTGAATAGCAGTAGGCATGAGATATGGCTATTTACAATTTAATATAGGCTTGAATTTTACCCTTAGGGAAAGATACTATATCCACATTAAAAGAATTTCCTAGCTTTTCTTCCCCAAATTTATTGAGGTTTTTTTTGAAAAAATAAATCAGGTTTCTTTACATTGCGAAAGACTTTTATTGATTCTGACCATTTTTATTTGTTTTAAATTATCTAAAGTTTTATGTCCTTTATTTTACAGAAGCAATATAAATAACACACCATTTCTAGCTCTGGAGATTAAAAATATAGCAAAAGTGGGTCATTGTCAAAGGAACTCCATTGAGAAATTGGTACATCTTGCTTGGATCACACAGTATTATGTATTTTTATGCTCTGTGATATTTCACAATTAAGTCTATTTTAAACATTCTAATTTTTATGAAAGAAAGCCAATTAGCAACTGGATATTATTTCTTGGATGTTAAAGAAAAATGTATGTTTGCTATGGATAGAGATGCATTCATCTAAATTTAACACTATGAAATAAGCTTTGCATATAAGATTAAAATACAGTATGACATCTAAATTTTAAAGCAAGGATATAGGAATTATTTTTTAAAAAACTTTAACAAAACATAATACAGTATCTCCAGCTCTATTACATTTATCCTTTTGTCTTTATTATACCGGTTTTAGACTTACTTTTAGAAGGTTATATATTGTTTCCATTAATTACACTTAAAGACTGCTTACTGTGAAATAAACCAGGGAAGTTTCATATATTCAGTGTGTGAGTCAAAGAGTACGCTGCTCAGTGTCCGAGTCTTTTGGCCTGAGACTATAGCCACCCAAGCTAGGAGCCATCAATATGGGGAGCCTGGGGCTCCCTAGGTATTCTTGATTCTTTGTCCACCCGTTGCTGAGCATAGGACTTAATGCCTAACAGGATGAGGATGAAGGTGATGATTCCTTTTGACCTCTCTATTTGAATGAAATCATGCATTGCTTGGAAGACCAATCCACAGATTAGGACAGTGGTGGAGTGATTGGAGAGATTTCCCATCAGAAAAGAAGCAAAGTTTAGATTACAAAATGGAAATTACTAAAACAAGACAGACACCCATGCTAATCCATGTTGATGGAAGAGCTCAGAAATCTAACGATAATAGTTTTCTTTCTTCAGATAAATAATGAAATCTCCTCATGGTGATCAATATGGTAAGAATCAGACAGACTTACCTGCTCTCCCTAATGTCCTTCTCATTTGAATTCTTAAGATAATAAAATTTTGACTGAATAATTAATTGGAATTTTAGAGAATTAATACAAAGTGTCTGCATCCTTAATTCATAACAATTCCATATTGCAATTGGAAATCACAACTAAGGAAACTCAGACTTAACTAAAGGCAAGATCAGACACTTTTCTTGTTTCCAGAAGGCACAAGCCCCCAGGGCTGAAGGCCGTTGAGAGGGATGTATGCAGAGAGAGAGAACCAGGGTACGGCAAGAGTCCAGAAACCCCCAAATAAATTATGCTGTTGGGTTATTTTGACAGTTTGTTTTGAACCCTGTAGACAAATGGAGTTCTGCACGCAGAGATTGCCGCACAGCAATCATGAAAGCCCAAAGTTTTCTGTAGCCACTCACTTAACTGTCAAAATTCACAATTGATGAAGAAATTATTCAACAATTTGCATTTGCTTATCTTTACTTACTCATAACTCCATGAATTATTTTCATCCTTAGGAAATGTGTGTCCTGAGATTTGGTGACATTCAAAAAACTTAAAAAATACACTCATGTTTTACTTTTATGAAACTCAAACATTCCAAATATCTTTGACATAGAGTTTACAAATATATTTTAAACTGTCGAGAACAACATGTAACCACACAGAATACCAAAAGGGAGTTCAAGTGCCTAAGTTTCCAGCAATAGTACAAATTCTGCCATAAGGAAAGCGATGGGTCTTTTAGTCTTGTAGAACAGGATTCGCCTGAGTGCTTTCTGGCATGCTCCAGATTCCCCTTTGTGCATTGAATGCATGATTTAGAAGCAGCTGTGTCAGCACTGATTTATACATTGACAGCTAAGGATAATAAGATATGGGCAAACATACAGCTCACCCTTTTACAGATTAACCTGGAGACTGCATTAGGCAAATTTGATAGCATTAAAAGATTTTGCCAATTTGTCTGGAAACAATTTCTCTTTTGTAGCATGTCAAGGGTAACACTTCTTGCCACTGTACTAATTTAAATGGCTTTGATAAATTGTTCAAGGGGTTAGAGAATGGTAGTGTAGATATATATTTGGCACTTTGAAATAAAAAGGCTATTAACTTAATTGTTAAATGAATTTAATCTTTAAAAATCAAAAGTGCTCAAGGATCTAAGTGTTTTCTTGGAACCACAGCAACCATATTATATCACGAGGCTTTAAATGTCTTCCTGGAAAATGAAATTATCCTTCTGCATTGCTTCCTAATAAGTGGGAAAAGCTTTCAACTATTGCAGTGGCAGGAGTCCTGGGCAGTATTAGGGAAAAGCTAAGGTTTATAAATGTAGTGGAACTCTATCTTTCCCAGAATGCACTTGCTTTTACATTGTCCTACATTGGACTATTTACGAGATATCAGGTAGTACTATCTATGATTGTGTTTCCTGGAGACTTTTTTAAAACTGAGATGTGGCATTCATGAGAAATTCTCTACATACATACTTTCTAAATAAGGGATCTATGGGGACCTCTCTGAAAGCTAGCAGATGCCATCACGACACCTCTATTCAGTAGCCCTGCGAGAAGACCAGCTGTTTCATGAAATGTTCAAACAGTTCTTTCAGAGTGAACCTCAAGTGTGAACTGGGTCTCTTGGTAAACAAGATGCGTTGATATTTTGATGGTAATCTCACTCTTGTACATCCATGATCCCAGAGCAGTCATGGAGGGCAAACATTTAATTTCTCTATCAAGTGAAACATTAAAATACATTTTCTCTACTGGAACAATAATGTCTCTAAACATCAAGGTACCACTGTGAGAACCACTTGTTGGAAACAGGACAGGTAGTACTCAGTTCTTTCTTTCAAGGTACTTTTCTATGTATTGTTGAAAGTGCTTTCTTCTCTACAAGACATAAGATACAACATACAAGGCATCCCTACCACAGTTTCCCCTCCTCCCACATCCTTTCTTCCCAGATTGGAAGTTAATTTCTTAACATGAACAGTAAGATTTTTAATTCAAACAAAAACATAAGAAAAAGAAAAAAAAATCACAAGCAAGTTTGAGGCATCCGTTTTATCCTGTCTACAACTGAATATTGATGTTCAGTCTTTAACACTAAAGAAGAATCATTTGTTTGAATGATATATGATTGAGTGGGCTGAAATAAAGGTAAAACTGTTTCATAATGGATATGCTATTGTGACAAAATTTTTATAGTGATGTTTTTCATTTTTTTATTGGTTAGGGCTACAGATTAGCATCTTAAAGAAAATAACCAAAGTTTCATTTAAGTTTTATTGAATTCATTTCCATCATGTGCTAATATTGAACAAACAGTTTTCTTTAGGAATCACATTCTGAAAGCTTCTTAACTCAAAAAATTCATGACATTGAAGAGAATTTGTATGTAACCATAAATGCCAATCTGAATTCTAGTGAAGCCTGGTGTACAATGACTGTAAGCTTTCTAATGTGTGTTCTTGGTTCGAAGGGTGGGGAAATGCACGGCGTCCTCTCTTGTTTTCAGTTTGGAGTCTGGAAAGAAACTGCCTTTAAAAGATGGAAACCCGAAAGTAGCCTTACTCCTCCTTGCCAAGGATAGTGAAATTAACATGCAGCTGGGCTTCTCTGATAAATGGATTCTGTTAGGTCACTGAGGGGGTGCATGTGACATTAAGTGATTTACAGCCCTTTACCTTAATGAAATTGTTTCAGCAAGATGACGCTGAAAGCTCTTAATGGATAGCTTTTCTTGATGTAATGAAATTGCATTCCTATGGCATTTAATATAAGGTGCAGTTATTATTTACTGGAGCTTTCCAAGGGCTGCTATTTGCACAGACAGTTCGGAACAAAAAGAGACTTCCGTAGCTGCACAGGGAGGGCAGGATGGCTTGTGACAGTCTTAAGCGGATGAGTGTGTGTGAGGAAGCCTTTCAGGAAGTGTGATCAGAGTGTCTGTGCTCCTTCAGGAGTCTTCAGGTCTCCTACACCCAGCTCCTGTGCCTTTCTGTTACACAGTCTTTTAATCCATTTAACAGGCAACTGGATTACAACCAGATCAGCTGCATCGAAGATGGGGCCTTTAGAGCGCTGAGAGATCTAGAAGTACTGTGAGTATGGCTTATTTCTCTGACTCTATTCTAGAAAGTTGTTTCATTGTTTCGAGAGAGTAATAATGGGATGACTTAGCTGCTGTCTAATAGCTCTGTGTCAAAATGTTTTTCTAACAGCAACGGCAACAACAACAACAGCAAATACTCCTTTGGAAAAAAACAAACCTGTGAATACACAGAAGAGTAGAGATGTACGTGGGCGAAACCATGCAAATGTTTCTATGTAGACATTCTATGTTTAAGAAGAGCACTTGAAAGTTTACTTTTTATAAAATATCCTCATAGCATTGACAAATGTTTCCAAAGTTCCCAGATCCCTAAATATTAAGATAAAAATCCAAATTAAACCACTATTTAATTATCTATTTGGTGGTTATTGTGAAATGGAAAGGTGTTTTTATTTAATCATGCAATTTTCCATGATGACATAAGTTAACTTCATTTTTGTATGTTTATTTTGAATTTGGGTTCCTAATTCGAATGGGCCATGGATGAGATCCATTTCAGAGACTTCACTGCAGTTCTCCTTGAGTGAAAAGTTTTTTCCATGCTTTAGTTCCATCCGCAAGACAGTCAGAAATTTAATGTGTTCAATATGAAGTGGTTTTGAATTTTTCATCAGTTTGTTAAAAGTTGTACAAGAATTAACAAGTCCACCTCCATAAAAGGGGGGTGAGTTAATTGAGGAGTTTTGAGCCACTGAATATAATCTGAAGATGAATAATATTTCAACCAAGGTAGCTTATTTTGCTAAGAATGCTATGTGATTTTTATTTTTATTACACGTTAGAGAAAAGTTTCTACCTGTCCCCGATCTGAGTTAACATTTTAAAGAGTTGATGAAAAAAATCACAAATGTTACTCGTCTGAATTGTTCTGTACATGAAGGTCATGTTTACTACTGTTGAAAAAAAATCTTTTTCTGCTTCAAATACGGTCAAAGTGCTTATGTACACTTTAGATTAAAGCCACTTTTTAACCAGTGTGCAAGGAACTGTGCTGCTTGTGTGTGAGGGTGGAGGTGGGGGCAATGAGTAAGTGTAGCAGAGGGAGAGCAAGTGTCAATCCCACAAACTGAAGTGTTTAATATACATAGAAAACTATATAACATATATAACTACAGATTTACTTGAATAAGAAATAGTCACCTTGCATATTGTTATTTTCATCTTAGCAAATTTCTAAAGATTAACCTTTTTGAGAACTGTTACTATGCAAATGAAATAGAAATTTAAACATTGGGATATTGTTATTTTTATCTTAATAAAATGTCTAAAGTTTGACTTCTGCAGGAACCATTGCTATGCAACATGAAAAGGAATGATAATTCATGAGGTTAAATAAAAATCTAAAATATTGGAATGAGGCTCTTAGTTTCATATCATAGAGATATATGATGATTACAGCCTGCTTACAGATTCAAATAGTTAAATATTGTCCACTATAAGAAAATGTTTGTATATTTTTAAAATATTTCAATGTTTTTTGGTAAAATTTTGTGATGTCATGAAAGTAATGTGTATAATTCTTAATGATAATACAGCTAGTGCATTTTAAACAGTATTTACATAATTTGATTGATAAATGAGAATGGGATAAAACTCTTTGAAGATGGAATTACTAAATAGACCTATACTAAATGATATTCCTGAAAGAAGGGTGACAATTCTGACTCTATAAATTCTTTTCTTCTGATCTCATGCAAAGAATGCAAGAATAGCAACTTAAAGTTCATATACAATTTCAGATACCCAGAATTTTAATTTAAGTTTTATTTTTATTCCATGAGCATATAAGACTGTCTGACACTATTGAACCAAACAAGAGAATTTGGTCTAATCATGCTGATCACTGATAAAATGTCTAGAAAAGGATTTCTTTTTAGATAGAGAGTTAATGAAGTCTGAGATTCCAAGAGAAAAGTCAGGCTCAGTGAGACAAGGGTCAGTTTAGCACTCTTCCTGTTTGATTCTGGTTGACAGAATATACAATGAACTATGTATTTTTACTACGAAGAAATGTCTCAATAACACTGAAAACTAAATTTCTCTATATTTTTTTTCTTATTAGGACATAGGACATAGAAATGAAATGAAAATGCTAGTTTTACGCATTTTTGCACATATTAAATGAGAACATAGTGAGTCATATCCATTAAATACTAGACTTTTTGCCAAGTCCTGCTCTTGTTTGGCACTATGAAATAATAGCAACTAAATCATCATCAAATTATAACATGTACGTCATCATTTCAAGGGTAGTCTTTTGTATTTTTGCTCTAATAAAACTTTTTTCATAAAAACATATTCTGGTAAAAAAAAAGAGTGAAGTTAAAAATTGAGTTAGTTCACATGCAGGAAAAAGTATTAATAAGTAATCTCCCCAAATCGTATCTCAGTATACATTGTACCTTCAAAGATTTTAGTTATGTTGAATATGCCTATATTTCGAGAGTGGGAAAAGATGTCAGTTGAAGTCAAGTCCCTTTGAAAAGAGACACACCGACAGAGATGAATAAGACAAGCAGAAGATACTTAGAGTTGGTAATAGTAATGCACTTTTTGGGTTGTTTGTTCACTTTGTGAAATATTCCGGGGGTGAAGTGAAAGTGAGGGACTACAGTTTATCGAAGGAGATTATGTGATCTGTGAAAACAGAGTGATTCTTTGCGTGGGAAATTGACAGGACACCCGGGGTTCTGCCCATATGAAAGAGATACCCTGATGAGCCAGATGGATGACATTTGAGCCTCGTGAAGAGTTTGCACTGGACTTTTTAACTGAACAGTCTGTGGAGGTTAGACAAGGGACATCAATGAAATAAGCCAGCAAAGAGACAGAATGGGCAAGAAAATAGACAAGAAGAGACAGGCCTCTCCTTCGTGGAGTCTGCAGGCGCACCTGAGTATGTCCTTCTTGTTCTTCTGAGCACCTATTGTTTCCTCTATCACCATAGTGAAGGCAGGCATAAAAATATCTTCAATAAGACCTCCAACTACTCTTGAAAGAAAAACGAAGAAACAAAGCACAAACAAGCAAAAGAAAACAGAAACCAAAAATGGACTGACAGCGGAGGATAGTGTGCTCCTCAGTAAATCAGACATGATATTCGCCGTTGTCATACCTAGTGTTGTTCAGTTGTTTCTTCCCCTGCTGCTCTGGAAGGTGGCCAAGTAATATGAATCACCCAGTAACCTCAAAATAGACATTGTAGATCAATCTCCAACTTATTCTTAAAAATACTACTAATTAATTCTTCTATTTTGTTTTGTTAGTCAACTGTGTTAGAACTAGAAAGAGTACATTTGCAAAGCCTCTTCAGTTATACCATCAGGTGTGCTGGATTGTCCGTGGCATTTTCGAGAGACCAGGAATTGACTTCTTAGGGAAGTTGGTTACATCAGCTGTGTACTTAAAACACTGAATCCTACCCAGTTTTGAAATGTATATACAGATAAAATAACTAACCTAATGACTTAAAGTCACAGACAGAGAATACGTAATTCACGAGCATCTATAAAACATTGAATCCATAGCCTCATGTTGTCCAAAATATGGTATTTACTTATGCTCTGCCATCATGGACTACTTGTGAAATCCTGTTACAATAAATCTGATGTTTGAAGTAAAAAGTTTACTTCGCAAAGGAATTTTCTTTCAATTGATTCTCTTTCCCATTTTCAACATAATAGTAACTAATTATATTAACATGTATGTGAAGGGAGAGAAGGAGCAATCTGAATCAAGCAACAATTGTACCTTTCACCAAAGCTCCTTTGTCCACCTGTCTTTCTGACTCTACCTCACTACATGATGACTGAGATTGTGACCCAACAGAATTACACAAAGGACAGTATGCCCTGCTACAACTAAAAAAAAAAAATACATTAAGGCTTTAATATGCTGCCAGAGCAAGACACTTCATCTCCAAAAGATGAAAATGCCAAATATATAGGCATGCTATTTCACCCAAGCTTAAGGAGTAGCCATTACCCACAGTAGAGGGTAATTAAGTAGTCTTTTATAATAACGATTATGTGTTGTTGGTATGGGATGTCAGCTGAAGAGTCCAAGAATGTGAGCGTCACCATGGACACTAATTAAACAAAGAAATGCAAAGTCCAATTTTCTAACTCATTTTGCTATGGTAATCAAGCAGGTTTAAATGCAATAGTATAATGTAACAAAAATGTTCTGACCTAAGCCATACATATATATTTCACAAGTGTTTAATAAGATGGAATGCATAGTGATATCTTTAAATATGAAAATTAGATATCATATTTTCTCTAAAATAGTGAGTTCTCTATGTGTTCTCTACAAAGAAGTTAGTTGTTTACATAAATGAAGTCATAAGAAAATTTTGATGTTAATATAAAATGATCAATGGTTTTCCAAATCTAACTAAAAATTTTAACTTTTTTTTATTCTACAGCACTCTCAACAATAACAATATTACTAGACTTTCAGTGGCAAGTTTCAACCATATGCCTAAACTTAGGACATTGTAAGTAGCCAAAATGTACAGAAAGATGGATTTAATTAATTAAGACTGTTTCTTCAGTACAATTTTGAATAATCAGTGTATAGGACCATTAGCTCATTATAGCATAGGCAAAGAAGGTGATACTTGGGAAGAATGTTAGAAATACTATTTTAGAAAATGAACTGTTACTCTGAAAACTTGGTGTCCTTACAAATGATATGCATTACAGAAAGTTTGGAGAAAAATAAAACATTTACTTTGAGCTATTGGAGAGGTCACATTTCATTAAGAAGTGGAAGACTCCTTGATTGGTTGTCAGAAATGATAAATGGGAAATCTTTATGATTTTATTACTGTATTAGAAGCAGACCTAATACAGCTAACGTGTGCTCCAGCGTTCTCTGTAATGTAAAGTCAGGGCATCACCCACTGGTGCTTGCATAATTAAAGCTGTGTCAGCATTTATATTTAAAAATATCTTTCCAGGGTCACACACAGTCATTAAGATATTTTTGTGAAATAAAGTATGAACTACAGCTTATTTTTCTCTCTCCAAGAAAAATGAATCGTTAAACCCCAACATGCAGCCTTTTAATTTTAGTATTTTAAGACACGGATCTCTTGTGAACTGGATTTCAAAATCACCCAGACCTAAAAAGTGAATTACTAGAAACATGGGACTAAAATCAAAGATGTGGGCTTGTGGTGGGGAAATGTATTTTTAAATCAGTTATGTTTATTTTGATTAATTTTTCAAAATATTTTTCTTTTTAAAATAGCAAATAACCAAGCTGGGCATGGCAATGCACAGTTGGCAACCCAGTCATTTAAGAGGCAAAACTGAAAGTTCAGGCATTCAAAGCTGACCTTTGCTACATAGGGAGGTCAAAGCAACATGAGTTACATGAGATTCTCCCTTTTAAAAATAAAAAAATAAACAAATCAATAAGCAAACAAATATCTGACACTTGAAGACATTCATTTTATTTCTTAAATAAACATACACTGAGTTGTGTGTGGTAGCAAGGCCTTTAATCTCAATAATCTCAATATTCAGGTAGCAGAGGCAGGTAGAGCTAATGAGTTCATGGCGAGTCTTGTCTACATAGTGAGTTCTAGCTAAGGATGCATGCTGTGATCTTATCTAAAAAATAAAATTAAAAAGTGCTTCAATTTATAAGTCTTTTAATTCCTCGACAATGCTAATTTAATAACTAAATTTATTTCCCTATCAAAATGAGATTGATTAATAACCTCGTTTACCTAAACTGTTTTTAACAAAATCAGTTTAATATTAACATTATGTAATATATGTGTAAAGAAAGAATTATGATTTTAACACCTGTAAAAAGAAATTTACTTAAACTGTAAAACAACATATCATTGCATTTTCGTGCCTTTTCCTGCTGGTAGCCATATATTAACTTGTCTTCCAAACCAGCTGTAAATTGTTTTTCATTTTTTAAAACTTTTTCTTGTTGATTTTATTGAGCTATACATTTTTACAGTATTTTTTGTATCGTTTCATCACTCCCTGTTTGACATGGCCATGGAAACAGGCTATGTTTAGTTGAACATATTTGGTAAGAATGGTGAATGAAAGAGGTATCAGTGGCTACTAAAGTCTGTATTTTAAATTCTCAGCAAACTAAGGAGCTGGTCACTCACCGTTCCAAAAATCCAATATTTGACCTCAGGATATCCATTTTAGTTTTGATGCAGGGCATCCTGGTTCTTATACAAACACTCAAGGAGAATATGGCCATCATTTAATTTTAAATTCCCTCCCTTTTGGTTGGCTCATTTTTCTATAGCATCGTTGGTACTTGAAAATTCCATTTTTATACTTGGATTATCTTTCTAGGCTGAGTTCTATATTTTACAATCCATTATCATTATTGAGTTAGAATTGAACACATCAGCTAAAAGGGGCTAAAATGGTTCCACTGTGTCATAGACAATTCTAGAAATGATGTTTTGATTTATAGCATTAGGTGCCCTGTCTTTAGTTTGAGCGAACGTAAAGCATAGTTTGAAGTCATTTACCTAATTTAGTGGATACATTTGCCTGATATTTTATTAATGGAGAAATACTATTTGCAATTTGGAAGGAACCCATGATCTTGCATAGATTCTGGCAACATAAAGGGGTCTTATTTAATTTCTCCTGTCCCAGCCACTTTTGCCTTTTAATTTTACTCTTTGCTCTTTGAAGCTAGATCTTAAGAGCTAAATTCAGCTAATCCCTTTTCTGAGAGACTGGGCCCAGTGGGGTGGGGGAAGAAGAAGGGAGTGAGGGGAGAAATTGCAAGAGGTATGTTAAAATCAGACTCTCTTATATTGAATTATTATTCATCTTACTCAGCAAAATAGTGCTATGCTAAAATGACTTTGTAAGCTGTTGCTATAGAAACTAATAATGGTCTTCACTGATATTTGACCTATAAGCCACATCATTTGTTCTAAATACTTGCTGTCCACCCCTCTTCATGCCCACAGCCTTGGACCACCTCCATTGGCTTTTGTTATGGTGTGGATGGAGAATAATTTGCCCCGAGCTGATATTTTTTTTCTCATTACCACTTTGAATGAATATATGCAAAATAACTTCATAGTCCTACTTCTGTCTTTTTTGCCTAGCTCAGTAAAGGACGGGAACTGACTCATGTTTATGAACTAGTTTAATTATCTGAGAAATAATTTTATTAGGGATTTATTAGAAATTCCCTAAGGTGTGCCTGGATTGGTGTTTGTTTGTTGTTGTTGTTGTTTTGTTTTGTTTTTAGAGAAGTATATCTTTTTACTAATAAAGTTTGAATTAACTGTCTCCTGTTTTCTTGCTTTGAACTCCTCCCTCTTCTTTAGTCGACTCCATTCAAACAACCTGTACTGCGACTGCCACCTGGCCTGGCTCTCGGATTGGCTTCGCCAACGGCCTCGGGTGGGCTTGTACACTCAGTGCATGGGCCCATCCCACCTGAGGGGACACAATGTCGCAGAGGTTCAAAAACGGGAATTTGTCTGCAGTGGTAAGATCAGTGGGGTTGTAGGATTTTTTTTTTTTTTTACATCTGGTGTAACAGGTGTGAGGAATTCAGATTTCAAAGGTTCAGATTTGCTCCCCAGGAAGTCATCATGCCCTCATCACCATGGAGACGCTGCACGAGAAGAACACTAGATTCTAGGACTTTTGTACCTAGGGCAATTGATGACTTGGATAGAAAAATCTGTCCAGTTGCATGCCAAGGGAATATAGGAAATTCTCAATTGTAACCATATTTGTGAAATATTGTTTTATCTTTTATTGAAGATTATTGTCTACTAACTAGTGAAAATGACTAGTAATCCTGAATACTTACCCAAAACTCAATATAACTCAACTGTATTTATAAAATATAGAAATAAATGTATAATCATATATATATATAATGATTCAATTTTACTAAAAATAAGTATATAACTGCCCTATGTACCAAAACATCTGCAAACCATGTTTATCAATAGCTAACATTTGCTAAGTTCTGCATGTCTAAACAGTAATGTAAATATTTCACACATAGCTCTCTCACTTTACCTCTCTTGAAACAACTATAAGAACAATATAAATTAATCTCTATATTAGAGACTAAAATATCGTATAAAATAATAAGCTTTTCTAATTTTATATGTTCAAATTCAAGGATCTCAACCTATATAGGCTATATTTGCATACATATATGTACATATACACACAAATAAATTATATACATGCATGTGACTGTGTATTTTATGAATATATGGCTAGGCATGCTTCAGAACAATTTGTTCAAAATATAATGAAACACATAAATTTTTGATTGTCCTGGGGATAGTCCCCAGGCTCGTGTATATTTTGACAAGAACTCTTCCAAGCCTAACACAAAGTTTGAAATCACAATATAATTGGCTTTTCTTATTTATTTGCACAGATATAGATTCAAGCAACCAGCATCAAAACATTTCTAAAACAAATGATCAGTACTGAAACTTTACCATCATGTTCTTGTCTTTAGTCTGTAAGCAATGCACTATTGTAACAAATATTTGCATATCATTTATATTCTATACATTGTTGTAAGTAATCAAAAGATGACTGATATTATAGAGTTGATTTGCATAGACCTTTTTCAAATATGATCTTACTTCATAAAGGATCTTTACAGTCACTTGTTCGGGTATGTGTAGAAGTCCTCGTCTCTTCACCCATGCTTACCAAGCATTGAAAGCAGTTCACATTTTTAAATCACTGGAAGAAAGTTACTAGCTCCTTTTTGGACATTTAAAGATACCTTTCGGGCGTTTAAATGTATTTCCACACTTTGTGGTCTACCTGCAGTTTTCTTATAATACCCTGAAATATTCTCAGTGTGTTTGGTTGCTTTTTAAAAATCCAAACAAATCACGAGCATTTCTCTAACCATCGTTTTTCTCTTTGTTTGTTTTCTCCGTGCTGCCTTCTAGATGAGGAAGAAGGCAAGTTTATATCTTGTGTTTGTGTTTTCTTCCTCCTTGCATTTTTTGTTTTAGACTTAGAATATTGTTGCACTTTGAGAACTAGTGTGGAAGGATGGGTTTAGAAGCGAGCCCACAGTCTTTTCCTGGCACTCTCTCACACCGGGAGGGTCCCTTCCCAGTAGATCCCAGAAGATTGTCCTGATTTTCTCCAGAAACCATTACTAAGCAGGCGCCTGTTTAGTGAGACCTGGCTGATGATGTTCTGGTTTTCATTACTCAGACTGGGAAATCTGATTTCAGGAGACTTTTGTGTTCAGACACTGAGCAGTGAAATTACACATCTGCAGGTGACTGCTCATAGCAAAAGTTTCTATCAGATGAAGCCCCTGAAAAGAATCATTTGGACGAACAATTATAGAATGTTCTCCCACAAATTACCATAATAACTTCAAAGAAAGCAGTAATTTTGAATCTACCCAGACATCAAACTTCTATTATCTAGTTTTCTCCTCCATTTGTTGGCATGAGCTAACTTAATTTGACCAACAGTTATGTCAATCAAGATGGAAGTCCACTGTATTTTTTTCTTTTTTTTTTTCCAGAAGCAAAGTAAATTATGCTACATCAGTTTGATTAAAACCAAGCTCCAGTTAAACTTATTAGAAATTATATAGCTCATTCTGAAATATCTGCTTTTTTAGAAGTCATGTTACTTTTCGATAGAATTCTGGTCTTGAATCTAAATTTAGTTTTACTAACCTTTCTAAGTTTTGAAAATGTTGCAATTGTTATGATTTCTTATCTTATAATATTAAGATATAACTGCATGATTTCCCAAATATATTCTAGAAATATTAAGGATGCTTATTTAATAAACAAGCATGCGAGAACTTGATCTTTGTCTCCTGCTTTCTAAGATGAACACAGTCCATATATCTCTCTATTGTGAAATTCAAGAGAAAAATCTAACTTCTGTTGATTTTTTTTCTCTTTTAGGTCATCAGTCATTCATGGCGCCCTCCTGCAGTGTTCTGCACTGCCCTGCTGCCTGTACCTGTAGCAACAATATTGTAGACTGCCGAGGAAAAGGCCTTACTGAGATCCCCACAAATCTTCCTGAGACCATCACGGAAATGTATGTGCCCCGGATTTTCTCTTTCTCTTTCTACCTCCCTATTAATCCAATGCATGGTTTGCTTTCAGGAAATCTGGGCTCGTCAGGCATCTCTAATTAGTTGCTTTAGGCAAATCATCTCTTCAGAAACGTATCAACCTTTCCTATGTTCAATTATATACATTGATGAAATGATTATGATTTGGTTTTATCACAGGTATAATTAAAAGGGATATTTTTCAGAAAAAAATATATTTGAATAAGCATTTAGGCTCTTTTAGAGACAATATATGCTTCTCATCCTGACGTTAAGATCAGTAGGTTTAGTGATGTTGGGTTTTGGCTAAAGGAATGGAGTACAAAAAGGTGGCCAACAGAAGTACGTTAAGCACAACGAGAGGGTTGCTGCCTTCTCAAAAACTCAGGTTTAGAGTCAAGTCTCATGATCCTTTTTAAATGCATAGAGTATATAAAGTATGGAATGTGCTAGACTGTAGCAAGTGTCATCTATTACTTAGCTAGAAAACTTTTTAAAGTTTGTAACATAGTCACTACTTCCTTCAAAAGCTCAGTTCGCTTGACTATTATAGACCTTCTTTTTGTGACACTGAGGATTGAGCACTAGTGTCCTTGTGAAATATAAGTCATGTTCATGAAACAAATGCATATAAGATGCAATTCGGAACGTCAGGATCATTGGAAGTATCGAGAAAAATTCTGATCTCAGTTTTTATTAATGAAGACGGTATCTCTAACTGCCTAGATTATCATGTTACTGTTTTATAGGGCAACTCTAAATTGTAACACTGTAATCAGATTTTATTGTTTTTTTAAATTAATAAAAGAGGAACAATTTCTCATAAAAAGCAAAAAGAACTTTTCAAGAACTACCCCTTTCAACCCATTTGTTTAATTTATATAAGTGAACTGCTTCAATTTACTTTATGTGAGAATAATCTTAGTCCAAGAATATATGTTATCTTCAAGTATAATATGTGCTTAATGTGTTTAGATAATTGGGATAAGAAACATGATCTTCTACAGAACCTCCAAAATCCATTGAGATTTTTATACAAGCACCGAAGCATAATAGACGCTTCATCCAAGGTTTAGTTGGTGGAATAATATCTTACGATTTCTACGTGTTTAGTTTTGGCTGGGAATTGAAAGAAGAATGAGATATGGTTTGGGAAGTAACAGTTCCAATTCTGTAAGAAAGAAACACTAGGAACAAATAGCAGGTGGAATTGAGTGGTAGGCAACAGAGATTATAGAGGTGAATGGGAAGATAATACTTTCACTTTGAGGCATGGCAAAAAGAAAACACTGTTGTAATAAGTCTCTGTTTGTCATTGAAGGCATTGTTACCGAAGTTTTTTAGCTTAGTTAGAACATAGAAGAAAGCCTGACGTATATTATGAAAAGAAATTCACAGTAATCGTTAATCTTCACAAGATTTGTTTTTACAGATACATGAAGAATATCTGATAGAGAAAATGCACAAGCAGTGCATGCAGTCAATAATCCTTATTATTTAAAAGACTGCATCTATGTACTATAAGCTTACTGATGTATACTCACATATAACATTGGACTTCATAAAAGCAATTTCTTTCAAATATCTCATGCCTGTGATCATATTCACCCTAGTTCTGTTTCCTCCTCTTGCCAACTTGCATTTCCCTTCTGCTAGCCTCTCCTTCCTTACCCCAGACTCTATTTTGTTTTCATGTTTTATATGGATATATTTTTGTGTATTTATGTGTGTATACATATATGGCTTTACATTTCTATAAGAAATTTTTAGGACCCACAAAGAAAAAAATCATGAAATGGGAAATATTTTTTTGCTTTTCCTATCTAGTTTATCAATTTGGTATGTTGATTTCCAGTCACATTCACTTTCCAGAAAAGTATATATGTCTTTCTCCTTTAGAGGCAAATAAAATTCCACTGTGTTTACATGCAGGCCACATTTTCCTTATTCATCATCTGCTGACAGTGGCCTAGGCTGATTCCATAACTTAGATATTGAGTAGTGTTACCATAATAGATCTGCATGTACAAGTATCTCTGTGATGTATTGACTTCAGTTCATGGGTTTTTTTTTTTCTTAAACAGTGAAACAATATAATGACCTATCCAGAAACAAAAATATATTTAGTATATAAAGTCGTCATCAATTTTTCAGAGATTTTTCTTTTAATTAATGACTGGTTCTTTAGTAATAGCATTTAATAACTATGGAATGAGGTATCAAGTATTCCTTGTTAGATGAGTGGCATGCATGCAAAGGCCAGAGGCATTACAAAAGCAGAGAGGGGAGGCCAAGATACAGTGGGTAAGAAGAGTTGATATATTTTGTTTAGAATCCCAGTTTTATCTCTCATTTACTGACTCCGAGTTCATGATTAAGTTATTACTCGTCTATGATTTCATCATTTTTGGAAGCCAAAACATTTTGTTGTTAGGAAATAAAATAATATGTGTAGAACTATATACACATCATAATCTAGAAACCCATAAATGATACCTCAAACCTGGAACACAAAGTACAAAAGTAGCCCCTGCACTAAGCCCCATAGAGAGGTGGTGAATGGAAGGAAACTCTCTGAGTTAATAAAACATTGCGAAGATGGACAGATTATATAGGAATGCTGCTTGGGTGACATGTCATAACGCAGAGAACAGAGAAAAGGACATTTAAAAATGGGTCATTGCAACTTCATAGAGGGTTTCGATACTATGAAACTCTTAGAATTTATTTGGAATGCATCTGAAAACAGGTATTTTTAATTGAATCTTTCAAAAGAATTAGTCTTAGGGCTGTATCTCAATGGACTTTCAAAGCAGAAGATACCTAGGAATCTATTGCATTGACCTTTGTAGATGTTGGAAGAGGAGGAAATGTTGGGCAATAATAAGAAGGGGACAGGGAAACCGATGAGAGTTACTACAGAGGATTGGTTAGTAGGGATTCATACTACTGGTGAGGATTTATGGGAAAATGCCGCAAAACCAATGCCAATTTCAAACCTAAGCAGGGGAAGACTGATTCATTCACTGTAAATAACAAGTAAAAATTGTAAAATGGTTTAGGCAATAACATAATGCAGGTTATAATAATTTTAAGCAAGGAAAGAACTTGCCTGAGCCAAAAATTATGAAGTAACTGACCCCCCCAAAAAATCTGTGTTGAGAAGTAATTTCATCAAGTAACCAAGGGAAGGAGAAAAGAGGCAAGAGAGCAGAAGGCTAGGACAGTGAAAGCGAGAAAGCCTCCAGGCAATGTGGTCCCCTTGAGCAAGTGTTGCTGCCTTTGAGCCGGCTGAAGTCCAAAGCAGTTCAGACTTTTAACCATTCATATGAAAGGATCCAATTTTGTCAACAATTTTACAAAAGCCACTTATCCATGTTAAGACTGGGAATACCAAAGGGTGAAAAGGAACAGTTCAAATCGTTATTAAGAACAACTGATTTTAAAATCCAGAAACCTGCAATCATTAGAAAATTAGAATAAAAGAATATCTTTGAGAAAAAAAATAAAGTTAAATAAAACCGGTGAGGAAAATCAAGAGTTAAAGAACGTGTATGTGCACATAGGAAGAAAGCGGTTAGATCTGCTCATAGCAAAGAGGGACTAACGGATGTTCTAGAAGAGCAAGCTAGGGGCAAAAATGTATCAAAAGCAATACAGTGATGTAGGACATTTTAAATGGCTTGCCCTATTAATCATTTTTATTTTTAACTTTAGCCCTTTGCCTCTACCTTGCATGCTCTATAGACTTCACATAATGTTGGAGTTTAGTAGCATGGAAGTTATGCTGAATAATGCATCCCGTTGGGTTTACCCATATTAAAGGGGTGATATGTCATATTGTGGTACCATAGCTTCAATTTATATTGGTATAAAAGCATTTGTCAGGCTACAGATGAATTTTATTTCTCTGATTATTGCAGCATTATTCAGTGGGAATGAAACACCTTCAGAAATGTAACATACTAGCTCAGTGACTCACATTTTTATCTGCTGAAAATAAAGAATATTGGTAGTATTGAAAAATCATGCAAATGGTACTCAAAAACATTGTTTTTCATTTTTAGAGATAACTTTATTCAAATATTATTGTTCACATTATTATTGTTTTAGTATTAAAATATTTATTCATTTTATTCAAATATTTCTAAACAAGGTTTATTATGAGTTATCTTGCGGCATCTTTATTTCAGATTGAGATATTTTAATAGTGTTAACATGTTTGTTTTCTTAGGCTGTGATATATCTTTACTAAAACATTCATAATTGTAATAAAGAGAAAGTATATATGCTCTAGATGAGTGAAGACCTGACTGTAATCTAGGTTACTAAACAATATGCAAATATTCCCTCCATTTTAGTTTGTTTTTAGCAAGCACAGATCATATTTTGGTGCTTTACAAAACATTTTTTCTTGGAGATATAAAACATCATAAACTAGAAATAGGTTAACATCTATTTAAACTCTTCAGCGCTGAATGCTTGCACACATAGCATATAATTTGAATTTTCATTGACTCGTGTGATGAGTTTTACAGAGTAGGAAAACCACTTCAGAGGCATGTTCAGAAAACCCTGGGGGAACTCTCCTCAGGAAGCCTGACTGCACAATGATTTTATCATGGCCAATGGTTTGCATTTGCATTCGTGGGCTGGGAATAGGTTTTGACTGTATCTACTGATCACATTTTAATTTATAAGTTTATGTTATTTTTTTAATTCATCGGAAGTTTCAAATAGCATGTTTTGATATCTACCTCCCTTCCACCATTTCTTCACAGATCCACTCCCCCCATTTTCCACCCATCTAACTTTGTGATTTTTATTTTTAAACCATTCAAGACCAATTTGTACTATACCAACATTCAGGGTATCCAGTCTTTTACTGAACCACAGTCAGCTTCTCGAGAGCTACACTCTTAGAGAACATGGTCTTTCCCTCTCTCAGCAGCTGTCTCAATCTATTCTGGCATTATAACTGTTA